TCAACAATACCATTATTTCTTATTATGGGTTTGTATGGCTTTAGCACCTGGAACCTTCATCTGCTACAAGGCTTTCACATTGCTGGTTGCTGCAGGCTAGTGCAGGGGCAAACTCACTGTCTAAACAGGCAAAGGAAAGGAGCGCAGTTTGCTTTTATTTTACAGATGGAGAGACCTGACAAAAGGAGATGTTAAGGTACTTGACCATGTTCCCGCTGCCAGCGATGGAACCCAGACCTCTTGAGTTTGAGTCCAACACTTTAACCACAAACTCCTCCTTCTCTCCAGTTTCAATGTTTAATTAGCAATGATGATGTCTGCAGCTTCCTCTTATCAAGTCACTCTTTCATCAATGATATTGTGGTTATTCCCCTGCTATGTGTGTGGCTGTCTTCCAGTTATATTACCAGCTCCTGAAATCATGTTCACAAGCACAGGATTTGCTAATCTTTCCCAAATTCCTTCTTAAATATGAAGCAAAACTGTGCTTTCATTGCACACCCATTTTATGCCACTGAATAAGGTAGAGCAGTAATGGCAAATGTAATGGATATATGAACTAGCTGAGGTTCCTGCTACCATCCGTGTTGCCGCCTCAAGTGTGAGGTCTTTCCCTTTCTTCCTAACACTAGTGCAGCACTGTAACTTGTTCTGCAAAAGACTTTGAACATCAAAGGTAAATAGCCTCTTCATGCCATTTCTGCCTGAACTGGGAGATAAATGTTACTTGGCCCTGAAGGTTTTTCAGGTATGGGGTTTTAGGTTTTGCTGGCTGTTCTGACAAATCCCCTTATTACATAGTTCCATAATATTTATCCCTCTCTGTGAGCAGCAAGGGAAGAGCTTTGTAGGGATTGTTTTCCACCTCCACCACTTCCTCTTTTTAAAATGGAAGTGGGTTCAATATCAAGACAAAGACCTACCTCAGGACCAGTTGCAGACCCTTCCATCAGCTTTGCATCAAGTTGAATGTACTACATTGCATGCCAGCAATATTTTTATTGATGTTGCTTGGAGGTGAACAAGACATACCTTACCATATCATCATAAGTGGCTTTGCTGCATTATTCATTTTGTCTTACTTTAATTGTCCTTTTCTTCTGGATAAAACTGCATTTTAGGGGTCAGGGAAGAACATGCCTCTGTCAAACAGTTGGATGATGTGATTGTTGTAGGTCCTTTCCAACTGAAATAGTCAATTTTATTCAATTGTGGCACCTCTTAGCGAAATGAAAAAAAATACAATGAGCAAACTTCATTCCCATAGGCGATATACAGTGTGTTCATATGAATGCCTTTGCTTGTGGCTGACATTAATTGCACACGCATCAGCAAGTGCATCAGCATTGTTTTACATGTTCTGTGATCAGAAAGAAGCAGGAAAAGATTCAAAATTATTGAATGGAGTCACAATAGCCACTGTATGAACAAATAAAACAGGCCAGGGCTCAAGTCCAGTGGCCAGGGTGCATCCCACCATGGCACAGCTCAATTCACCTCCAAAGCAGGGTGGCCACATTCAAACAGTCTGTTGGAAAAGATCCTTGATCAGCACCAGTAACCAGACAGAAACACTACCTGGCACAGTGCTAGCTGGCCTGGACAAAAGTAATTCTGGATGATGCACTAATAATTCATTAGTCTGGACAGCTGTATGCCATGGCTTCTGCCCATTCCCTGGCTTCTTGAAAAGTATTGACATGGTCCTAACCTCTGGTCCTAGCCTTACATCAGTCTTCATTTCCCAGCAAGACCAGGAGAGAGTGGGAAACTTGTGGGAATTAACTCAGTTATGAAGGGTCCTACTGTGTGGATTGGGTGTGCAATAGGTGGCTTCTTCTTAGGGTAGCAAAAGGTTGAGAAAAACAGTCTCCTTTTGTGCCTACAGCTCCTGCCTCCAATCACCAAGGCTGAAGTCTCTATAGATTGAAGACAAGCCATCTTAAGGCATATCAAGGATAAGAGGGTTATGAGGGGCAGCCAACATGGCTTCACCGAGGGGAAATCATGTTTGACCAATCTCTTAGCCTTTTATGAGGAAATAACACGGTGGATGGATGATGGCAGAGCGGTGGATGTGGTCTACCTTGACCTCAGCAAAGCATTTGACACAGTCTCTCACAACATTCTCACAGCTAAATTGAGGAAGTGTGGACTGGATGATCAGGTAGTGAGGTGGACTGTGAACTGGCTGAAGGAGAGAAGCCAGAGAGTTGTAGTCTATGGGGCAGAGTCTAGTTGGAACCCTGTAACTAGTGGAGTGCCTCAAGGGTCAGTACTGGGACCAGTATTATTTAATATATTCATCAATGATTTAGATGAGGGAATTGAGTGTACTATCAGCAAGTTTGCTGATGACACTAAGCTGGGAGGAGTGGCTGACACGCCAGAAGGCTGTGCTGCCATCCAGCGAGACCTGGACAGGCTGGAGAGTTGGGCAGGGAATAACTTGATGAAATATAACAAGGGGAAGTGTAGAGTCCTGCATCTGGGCAGGAACAACCCCAGGTTCCAGTATAGGTTGGGGAATGACCTGTTAGAGAGCAGTGTAGGGGAGAGGGACCTGGGGGTCCTAGTGGACGACAGGATGACCATGAGCCAACACTGTGCCCTTGTGGCCAAGAAGGCCAATGGCATCCTGGGGTGTATTAGAAGGGAGGTGGTTAGTAGGTCGAGAGAGGTCCTCCTTCCCCTCTACTCTGCCCTGGTGAGACCCCATCTGGAATATTGTGTCCAGTTCTGGGCCCCTCAGTTCAAGAAGGACAGGGAGCTGCTGGAGAGAGTCCAGCGCAGGGCAACTAAGATGATTGAGGGAGTGGAGCATCTCCCTTATGAGGAAAGACTGAGGGAGCTGGGTCTCTATAGTTTGGAGAAGAGGAGACTGAGGGGTGACCTTATTAGTGTATATATATATATAAAGGGGGAGTGTCACGAGGATGGAGCCAGGCTCTACTCAGTGGCAAACAATGATAGGACAAGGGGTAATGGGTACAAACTGGAACACAAGAGGTTCCACTTAAACTTGAGAAGAAACTTCTTCTCAGTGAGGGTGACGGAACACTGGAACAGGCTGCCCAGGGAGGTTGTGGAGTCTCCTTCCCTGGAGACATTCAAAACCCACCTGGACACATTCCTGTGTAACATTATCTAGGTGTTCCTGCTTCGGCAGGGGGATTGGACTAGATGATCTTTCGAGGTCCCTTCCAATCTCTAGCATACTGTGATACTGTGAAGCCACGGGACCCAGACACATCCCCACCTGGCTGGAATAAAACTCTGGATAGAAAATAGCATAACAGTTGTGAGGTATCTTCAATGCTGTAATCATTAATGACAAATATAAGTTGTGGCAGCACTGTGAATGGGACTCATCTTGCCAAGCTCTTGACGTCTACAATGCAGACACTTGTGTCTTAGAGCTTTCTACAATTAAGAGAGAGAAATAAACACTTGCTACAGCACAGTTAATCTTAGCTGCTTTATAAACATTTACTTTAAGTCAACGATGCTCAAGAAGTAGCTGTTGCATTCTCTGTCTAGACAATTAACTCAGATGGAGCCATATGCAATGGTCATATAGACTGCTGCCTTTGTGCCTGGCTTACAAGCAGAGTGGAAGCACCAAAAATAAGCCAGGATGGAAAGAAGTGAAAGAAGGGGAAAAGTGGCATCTTATGGAAACCTTTGTCCACAAGAGACAATTGGAAACCGTTCTGAAACGCTGGGGCATTCAGTATTTTATTTATTATGTAAGTGCTGCCAACTCACCAATAGTCTTTTTTTTTTTTCCCCCTGAATTAATGCCATTTGATTATTAGAGTCACTGTTTATGAATGGGAAATATTGGGTAGGGTACCTATGGGAAGTATTTGGTTTCTTAAGGTTTCTGGGCTATTTCTTCTGAGCAATTTTATCTTGTAATTTATAAGAAAAAAAAATTAGATACTCAGTCTGGCTTTCACTGTTTCCAAAAACACCTGGCAGGCTGGTTCCAAATACAGAAAATCTCATCTGTCACCAGTAAAAATCAATCTTGCGATACACGCTGGGGTAGAATTCCCACCCAAGACACTAGGAAACCCTCCAGAATAAGGAAGACAGAACTGGGCTCTTATTTTGACCAGGTTCATCTCTTCTTGTGTTTTGTTTTTCATACCATTTGACAGAAAATAAAATTTGATGTAGTTGATCATTTGAGCATCAGCTTGTGTCTAGGTCTGAGACTGGCACACACCCAGTGTTTCAATCACAGCCAGAAGATTAGGAGAGAGGGAGAGAAAGAACAGCCCTTGTAAATACCCTGTCATCCAATTTCGCAATGTTCCAGAGAAGGAAAAACTTACTTACGGACCCCTGTGGTTACCAGCTTATACCTTGAAGTATGAAATTTGATTACCTTGCTCCTCTAACTGGTCATCAAATAATCCTACTTTTTTTAAATTCCAACCGGAGTATTTGACTCACTGGTCTTCTACAGAATGAATCCATCAGTCTTGCTTTGTCCTTCATATGTTTTTGGCGCTTTCTTTTGTATCTGTTAGAGTCCCAGTTTAATCTTAATGCACTGCCTTTTAGCAGTGCTCATAACACACAGGCATGCATTAATTGATCTTTGGACATACTCTCCTTCTCCGTCTGCTTCACTGATTTGTTCCATTCAGTATCCAACACCTCTTGCATCAAATCGTGCTGTAATTACCTTCGCTGAAGTTCAGCATCCTTCATGTTTAGCTTCTGGGTCTCTCCATAGTTCTAATTGTAGGATTTAGCTGGAATTATAATGGTAATATAGTACATACAATATAAGCATATAGCCAAAAAAAGTGCTCTCTATTTTGGAACTACTACAAACTGAGACACAGGTCAGGCAGTGAGCTTTAAACACAAATGTGCAAAAAACATTTAAGGAGATTTATCCTTAACTTAAATTCTTTCTTTTCCTCTTGACCAACTCATTTTATTAGGGAAAGTTTAATTTGTAAAATTGAAATGTTCAGACACTTGAAAGAGAAAAGATGTGAAAAGAAATGTAGTGTATATGTCATGCCAAAATATTATTCTAGAATTTGCCACCCATTTGTGTTTCAGTAGAAATATTTGCCTCCACTCCTTGGCACTGGCTCAAAACTCTTTTTCTCAAAGGAGGTGCTGAAAAAGCATCTGAGTATTAATTTGTCTTTTGTGGGAGGTTTTAGTGTTGTTATAAATCACTATAAATCACAAATCAGGCTTTAAATGGGAGACTTCATAAGCCGCTCTCACTGCATAAGACTGTGAAAATGAAAAGCTTAAAGCAAATATGATCTTGATGTGTTGTATTTAAATTGTCTCCAGCAGACATAGCAGGCCTGGTTTTCCTAGTGTCTGACCTTCACTTCCAAAAGGTGAAGTGTGGTGGGCATCTCCTACGATGAACATGATTCAAACCTCCATTTGTCAAAGGAAGCCGTTTCAAGTACCACATTCAAATCTGTTGGATGGACTTTTCCAGAGGGAGCTCATAACCATGTAAGTATTATTGGTAACTTAGTGCACAACCGGAATTCAAGATCTTAAGCACCACAACAGGACTTCTTGTTCTGACAGTAAAAACATGTGATGCCATACATACAGTTCTGAGTGTTTCAAACCCCAGCCAGAGACCTAGTAAAGCCCTATATTTTCAAGACATTATTCATTCTGAGGTATTTCTCTTAGTCTGATACACCAACCACATGTAGGTAATTACCAGTAGTCATCACTAATTGTTTTTAAATTCTTTGTCCGTTTTGGCATCAACTTTGAAATGGCAGCTTAACATGAGCTCGTCAAAATGTAGACTTTGTGAAGACAACATTTCTGAATAGAAGCTGTATAGAGAGTTCAAGACAAAGCATTCCAAATTGGAGCGTGGCCAGGACACCAAAATCATTGCTAGAAGTCATGGGATCTTTAATGCCCACAAAGTGGTCAGGACCTCCGCTGAGTTTTATGAGTGTAATGTCTCACCTGAAGAACAACTTCTTTAGCAGCACAGTGCCCCATTGTATTGCACTGGGCTTGTTCATGTGCAAGGAGAAGAGTACCATTCAGTGAATTGCTCATGCCAATGTGTCCAGCAGACCAGACTGTCTTAGTGCGTCTTCCAACCCAGCAGACCACCTGTCTTGGCTCACCACATGTGGCTGAATGCCAGTGGAAGATGGCAAAGCTCTTGGCCTTCTCAGATAAAGACATTTTTAGGACCCCATGGGATTTGTCCAGCTTTACTGAATTTTGTTCATACCTTCGTGCTTCAGCCCAACAGAGTGGAGGGGAATCCAAATGAGGGCTGGGCTGCTCTTCCTTTGGGTCTAGAGCAGCTGGTGTTAGCATCTGAGCTCTATGGGAGGTTCAGTAATAATAGGCTACTGAGAAAATGCACTGAATCCACATATCCTAACACTGCCTAGGCCAAACTACCTTGTACCACACACGGCCATACTTCAGGTAAATACACTTGAACCAGCTGCTTAGATGAGAGAAGAAAGCTGTGGACACTTCAGTTGCCTTCCCACTTTCACTGACATGACATTGTAAGTCTGGTCGTTTCTGTCAGTGTGTGGATTCTGCTGTGAGTTTAGTCCAACAATGCTGAAGTAGTATTGCTTCCACAGAAAAAGAACACTGTGCAGCCCAGTATAGGTTACAACATGGGCTTTTTCAGTTTCCTCTGCCATTTAGAGATAGTCACAGGACTCTGATGCTTTTGCACATTCATTGGCTTTTGAACATTTCTCTGCCCACATCCAACAGCTTTACAGCAGCTCTCTGCAGAAAAGAGGAAGACAAATTGAAACCTTTAGGTATGTTATGAGTCTGTAGCCTTGTTTTAGGATATTAAAGCAAATGCAATAATTATGTGACTACCCCAGATTCACCCATGACAGTTCAACTCACTATCCCAACTCACCTTCCACATAGCTCATCTACTCACACTATCAAATGATGGGACTTGAAGTGAAAGCTAGGACATTATTTTCTGCAAAGGAAAAGGTGAATGATTACCCCATTATTTAAATAAACCAACTTTTAAAGCTTCCCTGAGTTATTCAGGCAAAGTTTAGAGGTCTGTGTACATAACTGAGTTTTCACTGACATCCAGCCGGCAACAGGTCATGGGCTTGTGCATGTCTGAGAATATAGTTAAGGATCTAAGGAAATTTCGGTTAAAAATTGAGGTTTTTAACAAATCTATGTGAGGGCAGTACAAAGCAGGCATGAAAAACAAGCAGATCAGTCTGAAAATGGATGATAGTTGTCTAAAACCCACTGTATTTGGGATTTAAACTCATCAAACCCTGTCTGAGGAACACAAACATCATACAACATGGATTGATCTGGCTTAGTAGGCACTGTTTCCAGAGAAGATCTGGAAATCACAGAGAGTCATCTGTACATAAGCTAACCATGATGCAACACAAAGAAATGCAGAGCTTGATTTTAAATAAGAAAATTGTGAGCAAAACTAGAAAGGGTACTTACTGTGGTACATGCCATAATAGAAATATTGTGGGTTGTCTTGGACTTTTGTTCCTGGGTCTGGTCTTCAGCCTTCCATAGGGAAGTAGAAAAATATGCAGAAATTTCAAGAAAGAGCCATGAGGATTGTTTAAGGATCAGATCAGGAGAATAGTTAAAGGATCAGGACCCATCATAGTGCAATGTACTGTAAAGGACAAGATTATGGATCATTTAATAACAGTCAAGTAATGCCCACATGGAGAAGTGAAATCTGAGAGCAGATAAATCATCAGTGTAACCAGCAAAATATTACAATAAACAATGACTGGGAGTGAAGGCTACACAAGTCAGATAAAATGGAGCATAAAAGACAAGTGTGACATGTAATTAACTTCTAAGAATTGTGATGAAACATCTTCACTGGAAAATCTGAACATTTGGGTATTATTTTATTACTGGAAAACCCTCATCTCTGAATTAGAGAGGAGTGAAAATCCAAGAGGTACTGTAAGCTATAGAGATAATTGCAGAGATTTCCATGTTTCCAAAATCCATGGTTTTCCTCTGTCAGATGACCATATGGGACTCATGCTGTAGTATTTATCAGAGTATAAGAAAGGGGATCTGCCTAAGACATACTGTCAATGGAGAGCAAATAGTAATGAAAACAGGGCCACATTATGATTTTGTGGAATCAACTGAACATCCATGCTGTAAGTTATACATTTATCCAGGCTTTTAGAATGAAAGCCTGAGAGTTTGTGAGAAGGAGAGAGTAGAAGATAGAGAGTAGAAAGGAAAGAGGGAAGTAAAGTTTTGTTGATTTTAATTTTTACTATGGTTTGTTAATTTTGGCATGTGGGAGGTGGAATAGCTCCTGGCTTTTCTTTTATTGTGATTATACTCTTTAATGTTGGCAAACACACCTGGAGCTGACAATAGGCATTTTTCAGAAGCACATTGTTATGAATAAACTAAAAATAAAATAATGAATCTAAAAACTGAGTGTGTGGTTATCTTAAAGTGAAACCCTAAGGCCTTCCGGTTGTACTTTAAAACTGTCACCCTGGCAACAAAAAGATAAAAGAACAAAGATATGTATTTACCTCTTGGAAATGAGGAAAGCATTTGTAGGGCTAATTCTTGTGGTCTTTCTGCAGGTAGAAGTCTTGAGTAGTTTTATCTGAGTATGATCTAAGTAAAGACATCAGGATTTGGACCATCAATATGTTCTGATTCTGTTCTTTCTTCCACCACTGAAACAAAAAAATAAACACCTATGGAATTATGATTGCCTGAAATAACATAAAGGAAGTAAGAGTGCAAAATAAGGAATGATTTTGGGTGACAAATATGTGCTTGAATGGTACACATTGGCCAAATGCTGAAATATTTTCCATGTTCAGATATACAACACTAAGGCTACTGTTTTAATGTCTTAATTGAAGAATTTGTATAATAGTTATCTGTACTTTTACTCATATATTCCAGCACATGCAAAAATACACAAGCATGCACTTCAATAAAATGTCATTCATCAGAGGAAAAGGCGTCTTTGCTTAAGGATTTTCAAAGGCAAGAAACTCCTAGTGTTCAACCCATAGATAGATTTGAAAGCTATTTCAAAGACTGCATTGTTTTTTGTACTGGTTTGTTAAAATCTATGGGTCTCAGTTGGTTATTCCATGGTAATAACTCAAAAAGCAAGACAAATCTGAAGGCGGGGAATAACGTGTACTTGTTGATTTGGAAGCAGTCCCACACCTGATGAGTATAAAAGATGAAAGCCACTTTTCTTCTTGCTTCCCCTCAGATTACTATTTGTACAAAAGTTCCAGGTTCACTCGTAAGTCCAGAAATCTGGGATCACATCAGCTCGGCAGACCCTCACTGCATGGGCTGTGGCAGTGTGGGAGAGGTGAGGATTTTCCTTCTGAATCTTTGGGTAGAAGCTATAAATATAAGAATGGTGAACAAATACACGCTACCAACTGCCAGTGCCAGCTATCTTTCCCCAGTGTGCAGGCTATCACCATTGCATGGCTTCTGTGATTGCTTCAGAAAGTAATTCATGATATGAAGAAAGGTTTTAGGGGAACACTGGATATGTACAAGACTCAGTCTTCTAAGTTTGGGAGGGCCTTGTATAAGACAGAAAATGGGCCTGAATACACATTGTTAAAGACACTTGTTCAAACAAAGAATAATTTAATATGTAGTCTACCACCTCAAAATGGATTTTATTTCACTACAGGTGAATAACAGCAGTGGTTATGATTCTGTAAAGACAATAAATTTCACAATTTGGGGGCTGCTGGGAAGTAAGCATTCATAATTTTGGTATTTATTGCTTCTCCTTAGGAAATTAATCCTGAAGAAAAGTCTTTCCTTCTGAACAATATCTGTAAGACATGTATCTTTGCATTTATTATTAGCAGGTGGCATCTGGGTCAAGACCACAGGAGAAGAATTAGCAGGTGGTCTTGTGAGGTGACTCGTATCACTTCTGCTTTCTGCTTTTAAGAAGAAGTGAAGGAGGTTCAGCAGAACAGCTCCTACCAAGGAGGACCTTGCCAACAGGAAGCAGCACCAGTGACTCAGCGGGTGGCACGCTCTCCGTCTGAGCTAGTGGTGCTCCCAGTTGTCACCCAAACTGATGGTAGGAGGGTTTGGATGGTACAGAATAGCATATTTCAGAAAAGGGCACAGATAGTAATCTGAGTTCTCATGATCTTTTTGCTTCTAATTATGATTTTTAGTCTTTTTTGCTATTAAGTTTGGGAATTGATGCTTCCTAGAATGAGCAGTTCACTGACAAAAACCTCATGAGTTTAACTATAAGAGTATAATAGGTTACATTATGAAGATATCCCCTTCTATTCAAGAGGCCTCTATTTAATGACTACCCGTTCATTAGCACTTAGATCTATGTTGCTGTGATACAAAATTGGCTACATACCTCAAAGAGATCATGAACTGGTCAAAGAAGGACCAGCCATCTCTACCACCCTGTACTGTGAGGATCCTCCATCTGTGACTGTGTGTTAATTTTGCTCTAGAACCACTGACCAGCATGGGTCCCTGCAGGAACTTGTAGTCTGGGCTGAAGTGTGAGTAATTTTGAAACCTAAGAGAGGGTGTGTGCAAAATTAAAGTATTAATTAAACAGAGGGTTTTAGTTGTTGGAATTAACACCTCTGTTCCCCTTATACCTTGTATTGGCTCTGACAAGAAGTAATTTGCAACATTTGCATGGGACAGAACAGGGAAGTGGCCTCATTAGTCACGAACCCTAGCTGGCTCCTAAGTTACAAAAATAATATCAGTGGTTTTGGGCAGCATTGGTCCTTCAGTTACTTTACAAAGTGGTTTGCTCCAAATCAGCCTGCTGGTTGACCTGCAACAAGAACCTGTACTCCGCCAACCCTCTACCCTCACCTAAGACAGATGCCTGCCTGCTTTTACATTTTGTAACTTGGGATGGATTAGCCCCAGCTGGCAGCATGGGTAGCAGGAAGAGTGTTCTGAGTTTCTGCAGGAAGTCAATGTATTTATCAGGAGTGGCAGTAAGCCAACAATAGAGTTGTTCTGCATTCAGAAATAGCGCTTCTACCTGTCAGGGGGAGGTATACACAACACAATGAAAAATAAAAATATACCCTTCAGATCCTCATTGAGATCTCTTACAAGCAGAAGATCATACTGAAATGTGTCTTTTCTCTTACTATTTTATTCACATGGACTTCACTAATGGCCTTACAGTACTTGAAGGGGGCTTATAAGAATCATAGAATCATAGAATAGTTAGGGTTAGAAAGGACCTTAAGATCACCTAGTTCCAACCCCCCTGCCATGGGCAGGGACACTTCCCACTAAACCATGTCACCCAAGGCTCTGTCCAACGTGGCCTTGAACACCACCAGGGATGGAGCATTCACAGCTTCCCTGGGCAACCTATTCCAGTGCCTCACCACCCTCACAGTAAAGAACTTCCTTATATCTAATCTAAACTTCCCCTGTTTAAGTTTGAACCTGTTACCCCTTGTCCTATCACTACATGACATAAGAAAGACGGGGACAGACTTTTAGCAGGGCTTGTAGCAATAGGACAAGGAATTACGGTTTTAAACTGAAAGAGGGTAAATTCAGACTAGATATACGGAAGAAATTTGTTACAATGTGAGTGGTGGAACACTGAAACAGGTTGCCTAGAGGAGTTATAGATGCCCCATTCAAGGCCAGGCTGGATGGGATTCTGAGCAACTTGATCTAGTTGAAGATGTCTATGTTCATTGCAGCGGGAGTGGAGCAAATGGCCTTTAACGGTCCCTTCCAACTCAAACTATTCTATGATTCTGCAATTCTGTAAGTGTTGTTGCGGAGACAAATCCTCCATATTCACTGAAATCTCCACTTTAAAACAGTGTAAATGAAGAAATAAGCAACAGAGAGGGATATCTCCATGATTTCCAAGAGATGCCAAACACTTCCAGATCATTTCCTCTGTGGTGAAAAGACTGACCTGCAGTCAGCACAGATTTTCATAGCTTCCTAGAAATCAGTTCAAGCATGGTAAACCTACATCACAGCTGTCTATAGTAATGAATGAAATATTCCAAGAAACTCAGGGCAATATATTTAGTTAATGTAAATTAGATTGCATACCTCGTCTTTGGTGCAAGTGCAATGTTTTATACTGGCCAAGGCTGCGGGCCAAAGTTTTTATTATGCCTTTCAGCCATTGAAGATGCTCAAGAAAGAAATATCTAAAAATAGAATTTTTCTTCTAGAGAACAATGAATGTAGGGACAAAGCAGGCCAAATGGGTAGACCTTTACACGGTCACAATAAAAAAAAATTAGAATTATTATGCTGGAAGAGCTCCAAGACTTTTTTTCTTCCTGAATGCAGATCTGTGATATTTTCATTCACATCATGATAGTTTTTATTGGGCAATAATTTATGTGCCAGCTGATCTCAGCATAATCAGAGTTTAGTATGATTTCTTCTTTTTGCTCAGCAGTGCTATATTTATTGGCCTGTTTGGTTTCATTTTAGTGAGGTGCAGCTTGAGCCAATGGAACATAACTTAGAAAACCTCCTGCAAAAAGTGTTTCTCCGTGCACTTTATACTCCCCCTCATGCTTTATATTCTCATAATATATTAAAGGCTTCTAATGTCACCTTCCAAGAAATATCCAGATTTTGCTCATAAATAATTTTTAACAGATTTGACTTTTCTGAATATTTGTGGGTTTTATTTTTTTAGTCCCACTTTGCCTCACAAAATGTCAAGTTCAGAGGCAAAGCCTGATTGACTGACCCACATTAGACATTTCACAACTAAGCATAGTTCAGATGTCACCAAACCCACTCAAGAGGCCTCTATGGAGTTCAGCAGGTTATCATTTTCCTACTGTTTGATTTGCTTCAGTAACTGTAAAGAAATTAGTTCCTGGCTAGACAGGAACTGGTAAAATGAAAGTGGTGCTGATAGAGGTGTCACTGACATGGACCTTTTTTTCCCCTGTAAGTGATATTTGTCCTGTCTTGTCCCAGCGCACTTTCTAAAGTCATTACTTATTAATTTCTACATTGCCTTTTTTTGTTTTTTCTTGAACATGTAGAAGTAATCGCTTTTTCTAGAAGCTTTTTTCAACCATTTATTCTTTGCATTCACGTATCTATATTTCAGGCTCTGCAGTCAGCTTTCACTGAATATAGAGCTGGCCTGCTGCCTCTCTTCCATGAAGCTACTCTTCCATTGTTAGATCTTAGTGCATTCATGCATGAACCTAGCACATTGAGGAAATACATGTGAATTAAGACTGAAGAGCTAAAAACTGCTGAAGGCTACCAAAAAAAGAAAAACTAAATCCAAGTTGCACAAATGATATCTATGTCAGAAATTTACACAGCTCCTCTGGCCTCATTCATAGTACATTGAATTTGTCCTATAGCATGCCTATTATTATTTCAAAACATGTTTTCAGGGCTAGATTTAAACTAAGAATAGATACAGGCACAGTATAAAAGTCCCTTCATTATCTTGCCTGTATTTTCAACAAATTCCTGCTGAGACAATAAATAAGCCAAAGAGGGATGATTTTTTCTCTTCTATGGAAATATTTATGTTTGTATTTTGAACTTCTTTTTTTTTCTTGTAAAGGAGATAAAAATAATCAGGCACAAAATCCACTGTCCTTGGGCATATAAAGCCTTTTTACTGAGAAGAAAAAATAAATCAGTTCTT